CACCACCTACCAAGACTATAACCTTGCAGTAGGCTCTTAACTTTATACAATGACAATGTCTTTTTACACAATAACAAATGTCCTGGCTTATAAACTTGTTAAAGGTCTTTCCAAGTTTTTTGTTTTGTTTCGCTTTCAAGATTTTCTAAGGAAGAGACCAAGATTCCAATTCTTAGTCGACTCCAGGATTCTATTCTGGTAGAGTAGAAACACACCTACTTTTTTAAGGCGAAGGCAAACAGAATGGATCTATACTTGTTGCACTGTGTCTAATTTCCACAAATCTTACTTCAATAACTAGAGCTAATATTCCAGTAATAATCAACTCCGAATTCACATTCCTTTCATTATCTTAAGGTGTAATAAGCCCAAGTTTACTTAAATTCACTTTAATTCAGTATGTGCCTCAGCATTTTCAGGAAAGACAAGGGAAGTGAAAAAAGTTATGGCAATGACAGGATGTCACTAATTTAGAAGAATTAGGGACAGTATGACTGGCAGAAATGGTCTGAGCTTTGAAGTCAGAATGACTAAGGCTGGCCACCCTCTAGCCTTCTGAGATAGCACCTTGTGGTGCTTGAAAGCACAGTCCTTCCTGAGAGAGCCTACTAGGGTTATTTAACCTCTCTGGGTCTTGATTTCATCCCCCTCTATAAATGGAGGTACTAAAACCACATGGGCTTCCCTGGAGGCTCAGTGGTAAAGAAGCCATCTGCCAATGCAGGGGACATGAGTTCGATCCCCAGGTGGAGAAGATCCCCTGGAGAAGGAAATGGCAACGCACTCCAGTATTCTTGCCAGGACAAACCTGTGGACAGAGAAGTCAGGCAAGCTACAGTCCACCAGGTGGCTAAAGAGTCAGACACGACTGAGTGACTAAACAACAAACAAAACCATATACAGCATAGAATTGTTGAAAAACCTAAAGGAGTAGAGTGCTATAAAAAATATGTGCTAAAAAAAACAAAAATTTGCTGTCTTCGGTAAGTAATGTAAGCTTCCTCATTGGTTAAATGGGGTAACACCTCCTTCACATGGTTATTTGAAAGTGAGATTGTAAGAAACCTATCTCGGTGTCCAGCGATGAGCCGACACCAGAAACCTGTATTATTCCTAGTGTGTGCTCGAAGCTTTACACAGGCTAGCTCATTTAATTCCCACAGCAACTCCACGAAACCAGTAGTATTTATTCCCATTTTACTCACTCAGATAAAAGCAAAGTGAGATACATCAGTAACTTGCCTTGGATCAGAAGGTGACCAAATGGCTAAGCCTTGAGCCATACGTTACAAATGCATTTAAAGCAGGATCTTTGGCCTTTGGCTGAAATAACCAGTTTGACATTTTTCAGTCAGTTGAGACTGACAGTAAAGACATCAGGGAATTATTCTTAATTCTGTGAAGTGTAATCATTGTCTTGTGGTTTCACATAAGAGTATGCTCATCTTTTGGAAAGTAAGCTCAAGTAATTGAATATAAGAGTTCTAATGTCTAATTTCTTTGAAATGGTTCAGCAAAAAATATTTAAACTTTTAAAGTTTTTTCCCAAATGGGAAACCTTTCAACATTAGGGAAAGTATGAGTGAGAGCAGAATTATAAATCCATCCTCAGCAAGATGTGTGTTGCCGAGAGGAGTTCATCAACAAAACAGAAAGCTGAACGGTAGCTGAGTGGTTCTTGAGTTACTGCTCCTTGAGAAGTGTTTCTTCATTTTGTCTGCAAATTTCCAAATCATTCATAGCCATGATCCAGTGATTTAAAGATACAGACAAAACACACATGATTTAAAAAAATTTTTTCCATTTCCTCTGTACAAAAGGTTACTTTCAATAATTTACTGAATTATTTTAATTATCTTTAATTTTTTAATTTAATTATCTTTAATTTTCACTTACTGAAAAAATTTGTAGAGTTATAAATCTTAACATGCATTTCTGTCTGGAGAGGGACAGGAGGGTCAGGGTACTTTTTATACTGAAGCTATTGTTTAGGACCATCAGCAAAAAGAGCTTTACTAAACCTATGAGCATATATTCATTAGAGGAATTTTAAAAAGACAAAAAAGAACATTAGAAGACAAAACATGTTTTTTAAAATTAAGCACGATTTTACCACTTTCAAGGTTCTGATTTATTGCTAAATGTAATACATTTAAATACCTGTATTGTTTAATAAAAACCTTAAATATATGTGGGCTATCAGGAAGATCTATTTTACCTAAGACACAAATATATCTCCCTTAAGTTTCCAGTTTGATGTCACTTCCTTATAACACACCTTGCCTACTTCCAAAAGGTATCTGAGGAAGCTCAAATATAAAAACCATTAGAAGAGAAAACAGAAAATAGATTGAAATGCATAGAGGAGTGGTAAATAAATCTAGCAAAAACCTAAGCTAATATGGCTACCATAACCAAGCAAAAATTTTAGCTCTGAGCTTGAGACGGTGGTAGAAAAAAATAAAACAAAACAGAAAACCAATCACAGCAAGCCCTGTAAGTCTGAGAGAAACATTCTTCCGGGCATCAGCATTTAAAAGCAATTTTTCAGATGGGCCATTACATAAGAACGATGAACAATATAATGGACAGTGTCCACAAATGGCAGTTTATACAGCCCATGCAGCCCATTTTCTTACCAGGCATTTCTTGTCTCATGACAAGGTCATTGCATTAAAAGTAATTTAGAGAAGGCCATTTCTGCAGCAGGCTAAGGCGCCACAGCTTTCTGATTCTCTAACTGAAACCAGAACCTATCCTCAAATATCCATTGTCTCAACTGGGCTTCTGACAGCAGTAGGGACAGCCAGTTCCATGCCTAACTACTCTGAAAGCCTGGAAGAGAAATATTTATTTCTTGCTGGTGATTCCACCTGAAATCCCTTTGCTTTGGATATCAGATGGGAAAGGATACAAAGCTGACCTGCTGCCCTAAAAAGGAAGCGGCCAGGCCAGCATCCTTGAGGAAAGGGAGACAAGGAACCCCAATGTAAGGTGATGAACCAATCAATCTCCAACAAGCCCTGAGCACAGGCAACCTTCCCTTCCTGCTACCACTGCTATTTGTGTGTGCAGGGACAAACAAGGACCCATAAAAATACCTGTTTAATAGTCATGTCCAAAAGGGGGCAAGGCCCAAGAGCGCATTCCTTCCCCCACCCCATATTTCAGCCCTAGAAGGGCAACATTTTTCATTTTACCAGTTCAAGATACAGTCTATGAAGGCCAAGCAAGGTCTAACATAGAAAGACCAACAGATGTGGTGGGATATTGGACATGCACACCATTTAAGATCCTCTCAGGCTACTTATGGGACAAGAGTCCTAAGACGGGTGTCTGGCAGACTAGGGGTTACTGCAGCCAAAGCTCCCTGGGGACCCAGAGAAAGGAAATTCCCTTTTCCAAACATCAACTCTCCCAACACCCCCTCCCGCCCAGCCCGACGACAGCAGACGCCAAAGGACAACGGGGCACTTAAAAAAAAAAAAAAGTGAGTAGATGCTAACAGCACAACATTCTATCACCTGCTGCAAGACAAGCCCTCCCCGCCGGCCAGCCCTGAGTCACTTCCCCTCTCTGCATCGGGTCTTAATGCTCGCGGGGGCAAAAGACCCGGGGCCTCTGGCGCTGGATACCCGCAGCCCCCAAGTCGGCGCAGACGCACGCTGGGCCTCCCTCTAGGCAAGTTCCCGTGGCTGCCGACCCGCTCTCTGCGCCCCAGCCGGCGCCGCCGCTACCTTGGCTAATGGCAGCTCTGAATGAAAGGAGCTGAGACAGGCTCCGGATTTATGAATGTGCAGGGGAGGAGGGGAGAGATATCATGTGACAATAAAGGAGAGCGTCTTATTCACAAAAAAAAAAAAAAAAAAAAGTGGCTGTGGCGGGCACAGCCACTGAGCAGCAGCGGCCGCCGCGATGCGGTGACCGCTCGGACCCGAGGCCGACGATCTCAGGCACCCGGCCCGGCAGCCCAACCCCTAGTCGCACCCACGATCGGAAACGCCTCGGGCGCTGACAGAAGAAAGGCAAAGCCGCCTCTGCGGCCGCAGGAACCTGCACCTCGGCCAAGGGCTGAAGAAGACACGGGTCCGGCGAGGGGAGGTGGGTCCGCCGGAGAGCCCCTCCAGCGAGGAGCCCAGAGCTTTGTTCGCCTCGGGCCCGCGGGGCGGGCACGCACTTCTGTGCACGCGCGCACACACAGATATACACAAAGATATACACATAGACACAGAGAGATATACACACAAGGGCCCCGCAGCGCGCTGCCCCGCGGGCTCCCGCCCTCCCCCGCCGCACACCCTCGGATCCGCCCCCCGAGCAGCCCCGACCCCGCGGGGCGCCAGTCCCCGGCCGTCCAACGCGTGCACACACGCACACGCGCCGCGGGGCCCCAGAGCTGCTCCAGCACGCCGGCCCGCGCGGGGACCCGGGTGCACGCAGACCCCAGCGCAACCCGCGCCCAGTCCTCCCTTAGCTCCGCAGTGTTTTTTATGAATGAAAATGTGGTATGCAAATGAGAGCGATTCAAGAAAACGACATGGCGGAGCCTGGGCCCCAGTGGGCTTCCGAAGGGACCGCGGGGCTAGCGGAGGGGGCGGGAGAGTCACGAAAGTCACCGGGTCAAAACCCACCGACCCCTGGAAGCCGGAGCGGGGGTGTCAGGTGTTCCCCTCCCGCCGCCAAGGATCTCGAGAGGAGGGGTGATCTGAGTCCCCGGAGAGGGAGCGGGGACCGCCCGGAGGTCACCCGCGCGCCCTTGGCCCCCGCAGCGGCCACCAGCCCGCCGACCCAACGCGCGCCCCCTCCAGCCTGCAGCAGTTTTCGCCCCCTCCTCACTTCATCAACAAGGGGAGAAATCTCGCGTCCCACACCCCACAGACCAGCGAGTCGCTGCACCCCAAGCCAAGTTCACCCAACCAGCGTCCCCGCCCGCGTCCTCAGCCCCGGCCCCCACGCTGCCCTCGCGGGGCACTCTCGTCCCACCCCGCGGCCAAACTTACTCGTCCGGGTGTGTTTCTTCGGTCATTTTCCTGTTCACCTAGACGCCTGTCCCGCGGCGGGCAGCTTTGCTCCCTTCATCTTCCTGTCCGCTCATCCTCTCCCCCACCCCCCTTCTTCACATCTCCGGAGATCGCCTGATTTGGTTGGGGGGAGCTGCTAGAGATGAAGGGGGCGCCGCAGAAGGGGAAGCAGGCGACGGGAGCGCGGGGTGAGGTCTGGGAGAAGGGGTGCACAGGCAAGCTTCGCGGGGAGTAAGCGCCGCAAGGCCGAAGGGCAAGGCGGGCTGGGGCTCCGAGGGCTCGGGAGCGGGCGGAGCGGAGAGATTTGGGCAGGGGACGGCGGTAAGGGAGAGGAGGAGAAAAACAAGCGCGCGGTGGAGCGGCGGGGACTGCTGAGAGCAGGAGAAGAGGGCCGGCCGCGGGCTGGGGCTCGGCCCGGGGTTGCCCCCGGGGGGCCGGGCCAATCACGGTTCCGGGGAGCGCTCGGCGGCCAGGGGTGGTGCGCCTGGAAGGCGGTGCAGGGCGCCCCGTCCGAGCCCCATCTCTCGACTCTACCGATTTACTCCATATTGGATTCTCACCACCGCCAACAGGAGGAGGAAGTAGGGCGGAAGCGATGACGTCTTCCCAGCGGCCAGAGGTGGTGGAGTGCAAAAAGCTTCCTACTTGCGACCGAAAAAAAAAAAAGGAGGAAAAAAAAAAAAAACTTTGTCCGGCCTACTGAGCATGCCCGACTTCCTTCCCTCCCTCCCCCCGCCCCCCAAGTCCCTCCCGGCTTCCACTCCCTCAGGAGCCCCGGAGCGGAGTTGTTTGCGCCGCGTTTAACTCCGGATCCTCCCGCGTTAGCGCTCCGGGTTTTAAGATGCCCGAGAGGAGGGAGGAGGTGGCAGCGGGGGACTTGCACACATCTGGCGTCCGGTTGGTTCCCTCCCTTCTCCCAAACCCCTGGATTAAAAATCCGAGGGAAGAGGAGTAGGGGGAAGACAGGGATCTCTGGGGGTGGCCGGAGGGTTGCTGGCCCTCGGAAAACCAACTAACCCCCACCTTGGGTCGGAGGGTGGGGGCGGAACAGGTGCATTTGAATGGCAGAGGCTTTTCAGTTTCACGTGAGTCTCAGGATCTCTTTTCTTGGTAGGGGCTTGGGCGTTTTTAAGGAATCATTATTTGTACATTGTAAAAAAAAAAAAAAATCCAACACAAGCCAGGAGCGTTTGCATTCCAGTAGAAATGAAGGACTTTCCCAGGTTAAAATGCAAACCCAAATATATTTTTAAAATTATCCAGTAAATCTCAAGTTGGTGGAGGATGGTCCTTATCCTAGGCCCTTGAATGCCACAGTTTCTGGCCCAGAGGTTGCCAGCTCCATGGGCTTTGGCACAGTGAGGTGGGGACCCCTGCTCCTGCTCTATCTCCCCTTTGTTTTTAAATTATTTTCCTAACCTGGCCTAGGACAGTGCTTTTTAACACAGCACTGTCTAGGCAAAGGGCAAGCAACCTGCACAACTGTGCCAGGATCTTTACTTGGCTTGATGCTCTTCTGTTGCAGTCTTGAAATTCTTTATGGTGTTTAAACTAGGGGCTTCACATTGCTACTGGAAATTCCATAGCCAGTGAATATTTCCTTCTGGGGTCTTGCTAGGGAGCAAGAGATATAGTCTCTGTTCCCTCCTGCTCTCCAAGCACTTTTATATTCCCCTGAATGTCCCAACACTACACAAAAAAATTTTAACTTAATGGCAATCACTGATCCAATTAAGAGAAGACTAAATATATGCCACAAGTGTTGCATAGGTAAAGAGTATATATATGTATTTGGAGAGTCACAGTACTCTGAAGAAAGTTATGAGTTTTCACCTTGAGTCAAGGGAAAACTAGTGGTTTACCCTAGGCTTCGTGTTTATCTTAACCATGATCTTTGTGGACACAGATTGGGGTTAAGCCCAATCAAGCACTCCATGCTAAGTGCTGGTATGTGGTGGTAGAAAGGGCACTAGGCAGGGGAGGAACACCTAGGCTCTGGTTTCCCCCTCGCAGCCCTGAGACCCTGAGTGAGGCTTTTAGCAGTTCTTCAGTTTCTTTGTAAAACAAGGGTAACAAGGCCACACTTGTCCTTCTCAGTCTTTGAGACCACGGAGGGTCTATGAGAAAGCACTGAACAAAGCAAGACCTCATTGGCATCTAAATCCCCATGAGACTAAGGCATCTACCCAGTTCTCACCTTTGCCCATTTGTTGCTTTTCTCAGCAATGTTTGAAAGAAGTCCTAGTCGGTCATTCCTGAACATCCAGGAACATGAACATTTGTCTTGTCAGAAATATCCACCCAATGGGCGTCATCCTCTAGTTCAGAGAACTCAAATCACAAGGTGACAGGTGAGATGATTATTTTCTGCAGGTAGGCAAGCTGAATCTGTGTCATTACAACTCATTCATCCAGCTCCCTGCTAATAACAGTGAATGACGGGCCCAACCCAGGAGCAAAAGAAAACATTCCAAGGTCCAAGAGTCACCAAGTCCCAACTTGGATGTTCTGTTGCCAAACTCCAGCAGGTCCTTAAGTTCTCTGAGCCTCACACTATCCTGTAGTAACAAGGTAATATCCACAACATCGAGTTGTTGGAAGATTAAATGGCTATAAAATGAAGGCACTGTGTTAAGCACACTGCAAATACAAGATTAACGGCAACCCTTTCTTCCCTTTAGCCAGTGGATTATCAAATGCTCTCCCTTTCACTCCCGGTCCTTTATGTTCCTCTAAAGAAAACCTTCCAATTTTTGCCTTGTTCATTACGCAAAAAGAATCTTTTTGATGAAAATGTCCCAAGCAGGTCACCCTCCCGCATCAATCGCTAACTATGACTGGCAACTCCGAGAATAAATGGCGGTATTGAGTGAATAACTCAGATGTTTATTGATCGGAATACCAGGGTGTTATCAAAGCCTACTGGAGAGTTACCAGAATAGGGGATATCACGGATTCAGGGTTTTAATGACATTGCTGAAAAGAGCTAAATACCCACATTCCTGTCTCGCCCCGACAAACAGCAAAACAAGGGACAGGCAAGCGAAAGGTGTCTCGTAGAGTGTGTCAAAAGTAATGTCGATCTGCTCACAACTTCAGGGTAACCCAGCGGAGTCTCCCGTAGGACCCCCACCTACTCGCCTCCGAACCCGAGTCCGGGGCGGGGGGTGGGGGGCACCCCCTCCCGAATCCTCCAGGCCGGCCGCCCGGAAAGCCCGGAACCCGAGCGACCCTCGGCGGCCTCGGGACGGGCATGCTCAGTAGACCCGCAGTGCTAGTTTCAATCGGAAGCCGGCCTCGGCCCCCGCCCCCTCCCGCCCCGCACGGGCGCGGGGAGAAGCGGACATTTTCTCCTCCACTATCCGCTCTCTCTTGTCCTTCACCCCCTTTCTGCGTCCTCCCACTTCTCGCCTGTCGGGGTCCGACTGGGCGCGGGTGTAGATCTCTCGGGAGTGGGCTGGTGATAGTGACTCCCTTCGCCCTCCCCCAGGGTTAGAGGGGTTGCAGGGTAGGGGTGGTTGGGGGAGGACTCCACTGTGTCCTAAGGTGGTTTGTGCCGCCCGACCGCGGCCCTCAGGAGCCCCCCCACTGCCGCAGCGCCCCCCGCTCCCCGCCCCGCGAGGCGTGCGCAGCTGCGCCCCGCCTGTCCTCATCTCACCCTCATCCTGCCCCTTCGGTATTTCTCAATGACCGGCGCTCGGAGGACACTTCCGACCCGGGAGGGAGCGGGTATCATTAGCGCCAGCTTTATCAGTTCCTTCCGGTCTGCCGGGAGCCCAGCCTTGCGCGCAGCTTGGCCGCGCCCCGGGCGCTCGGGTGCCTTTATTTTTCTGTTTAAACAAGCAGTCGTGTGTGCCGGGGTGTGCCAAACGAATGTGCAGCCCGCCTGCTCCGCCCTCTCCCCCACCAGGCCCGCCGGCCGGAATGGAAACCCAAGCTCTCTCGTAAAGAAGGGGATGATGCAAACTTAGAAACTGACCCGGCGTCCGGGAACGATGCCCCTGCGGGGCGCGGCGTCCCACTCCCGGCATGAATGGCTGGAGCCCGATTGCATAATCGGCGCGGTATAAATAGCCGGCGGGCGGGCCGCTGACGCGCTCACTGGTCCCGTTATCGTGAATACTTCATCTCCGATGCGTTCACTCCCGGGTCATTTTCCCTTTCAGCTGCAAGGCTGGGATTTTAAATAGCAGAGATGAAAGGTTCTCATCCCTGCCTCCCTGCTCCCTTGAGTTCATGTATTATGAATGAAACCTTGCTGCTTCCTGAAGGCTCACTTCAGGTAGGGGAGAGACTTAAGTCAAGGCAGCGGTCCACCGAACCTCGTGTGTGTGTGTGTGTGTGTGTGTGTGTGTGAAAAGGCAGCGGTCCACTGAGCCGTGTGTGTGTGTGTGTGTGTGTGTGAAAAGGCAGCGGTCCACCGAGCTGTGTGTGTGTGTGTGTGTCCCGGAGGGAGAGAAAGCAAGAAGAAATGATTGACAGGGCTGGGCAACCGTCTCATCGAGAAAACGTAACCGCTGATGGTTTGCCTCTGGAGTTTCAGTTTACAACTCTCCAGCCTCATTGTAAGGTAGATTATGCAAAGGGTCTTTTCGGCTGTGGCTGCTCACTCGCCTTCTCCTCCGAGCAGGGTTGCTTCAGTCGGAGGAGCTGGTTCCCTTTCTTCTCGGAGGCAGCAGACATCCCTGACTGTAAAAGCCCTGGGGACCTCTGAGGTCTGGAAGAAGAGCAGTGCTGCGGGTCAGTTTAGCCACTCTCTTGTTTCTTAGAAGCTTCTGCTATGTCCAAAGATGAGGAAGTACAAAAACTTATTCCTCCCAACTGTATTTCACAAATACATGGTTGTTTTAAAGTGAGAGTGTGCGGAGGGGTTTTTTTTTTAACCCTTTCTCTTAAACACCAAGTTTCGACTTATTTTCTCAAAATAAAATGACTGGTTCTTCACCAATGCGTTTCCTGTAAGTGAAAGGCAGTGGCCTGGTCATTATTTTTCAAACCGGAGGCT